TGAAAATCGCTTAAGTACATAATTATTATGTAAAAATCTAATAAAAACGTAATTCCCGAATTTTCCCGATTTTGTCATGTATACTCCCGAATTTACATGTTTTTATTCCCGAAAAATCGAAGCTTTAGTTATAAGACATCGTTTGTATACTTCAAAGATGTACAAAATGTTTGAGAAATCATTAATTTATTGCTAAGCCTTAGAGTTAAGTGAGTCTAAGTTAAGACTTAATGATAGAGTAATGTTTTGACGAAATGTTTATATAGAAGAGGAGAATAGTTGACAAATATTTAGCTGAACTCCAGCCGAATGTGACATTCATTTTACGGTCAATTGAGTCGAAAGGAGATTAGTTGTTGTATTGGCTCCTCTTTGACAGTGTGTTGTAAGCGGTGTTTGTGTGGATCGAGTGAATAGAGAGTGAATGTCAGGACCGCTGTATTCACTGCACTGACGGTATATGTTATGAGAAGTTATAGTACCAGTGCTTATGAGTTGGACTAACACAATATCCCGCTGAGAGCCCGTCTGCCAAACGGAATGGGGTCTTAAGAGCCAATTTCATCGCTACTTCTTTAAAGACATGCTTTTTTGATTGATATTTACTTACGGTAGCAATGATTAGAAGCCAATGATTATAAGGCAATAATTATGGAAATTATTTGAGTCTAAATTATACGTTCGCTACAATTTTCACCAATTATTGAATTGTTGTTCAAATTCTCATATAATATACATTCAAAAGGTGTTCTTCATATTAAATATTATGACTTTTGCTTTATATTCAAAAAATAGTAATATGTTGTATAAGGCATACCTATGCCTGCAATTAGTTGACAAAGTGCTAAACATTAAGCGTTTACATAATCTTATTGGCTATGATTTGATTTGATAGGCCGGGACGTCCACCCAAAAGAAGTTCAGTGACTGGCATTGTTAGCCCAGTGCCTGCATCTTACACTCCGGGCACTCAACAACATAATGCTCTGCCATTTCTCGGATACCCAACAGCAAAAAAGCCCCGTTTCTCAGATGATACTGATTATGGCAGTGAGAGTAAGTGAAGCATTATATTAGGCCTTCAATTAGTTCATCACTCTATACGTGCATTGTATTCATTGTAGTCATACCTTCAATCTCTTTGTCGCTCCCACTCCTATCGCACTTACAATCCCTATAAGTGTTTCATTTGATATCCATTTTCTAAAAGCCAACTCGTATTTTGTTTTCAAGATTTAGATTTAAAGCAACACAATTCAGTCAATACGAACACTAACGGCAACTCCACGGCCGCGACGGCCGCCGCTATGCTCGCGGCCAACGGATATTCAGCCGCTTTTCCATTCTTACAGCACTTCAGTGGCGGCTCTACTCCTACTCCTCAACAACAGCAACAACTTGTGGCCGCAGCCGCAGCCCTCGGCCTCCCAGCACTTCCACCCAGGTATACACCAAACCATTTCTACATTTATCTATTGTCACCCTATTGTGGTTGTCTTTTATCAAATTGTATGAATTGTTTATTTGATTTCTAACTCCTATTATTCAGTCCATTATAAAAAGCTATGAATTATTGAAAAAATACTTATTCACACTTTATTTGTTAGAAGAATAACATCAATACTTTTATAGTGTAAAGTATAGTATACTGAAGTGAACAATATTATTGCCTTTTGGTCTCACTCTCTACTCGACTTCAATAAGTTTTGAGTCGTTTTTAATATATTTTTAAATAAAATTCAAAAATGATTGAAAAGGAAACGATTAAAATTATTTGAATGCGATTTAAAGTGAAATGCAGTGTAAGTGTTAGTGAGAAGGCATTGAAATGCAAGTTATATTAATAAATATGAAAATGTTTTTGATTTTTTGCAATAAACTAACACTTGTATATTTAAGTTAATATTAATCGCATTCATTGGCACTCATTGCTGGCACTCATAAAATAAATATAGTTTTGAATGATTTTAGGCAAACATAAGAGCCATTTGGATATTAAGAATGTTCACCACATATGATATGAAATGAAAATATTTTGCATATTTAAGAGATGCGAGAGATGTATGGATGGGATGGATATGGAAGCAGTGCTCGTTAGATTGAGTGAGTGTGTAAGAGAGAGAGAGAGAGAGAGAGAGAGAGAGAGA